AAAGATGAAACCATAGGCTTGCCCTTAGTGTACTACTCTACTAATCGAGCTCATTCAGTCAAGGATCAAGTAAAACTTTAAATAGTTGTAATGTAGGTTGCGGGATGAGTAGGATACATTTAGATAGTGACTACACCTCCCTAAGCACTTTACTACATACACTTTAACATTCAAAATCCCACACTTTATGTCAAACCAAAACTCCACCTTCACATCAATATACATCAACTCCCAAATTACTTACGCACAATTACATCAAGAGTCACCACTATCAAAGAATATTTTGTACAACAATAAAACTATATTTTTTTCTTTATTTTTCAATTCAAGTGGCTCTTAGTTTTTCAAACTATTGCACCTCTCTCCTTGTTTCATTAGTTCCACTCAAAAGCCAAACCAACCACCCCAGACTTCAACTTTTACAAAGTTCATAACAAATCAAGTGCTTCAAGAGAGGTAAAAAGGTTCAAATAGATGGTCAATTCAAACAAATGGGTAAGGCTTGTAATGTGATTGCCAAAAAAATAGGATTATAGAGTAAAAAGGGGTTAACTAAGATACATAATAATAAGGCGGGTAAACACATATTATTGGCTCAACAAAGAACGCCTATATCACTTCCAATACTAAACAAAACTACTATCACTTTGCAAACACACGGGACATGTTCTAGACATCAAATGTTATGCACATAATCACACAAACCTCACACAAACATGGCACATGTCTCACTAAGGATTGGACTCATCAAGACATTCTAGTCAAAGCAGTTAAGAAAAAATTAAGATCATACAATTTAAGGTACTTATGCAAGAGTCAAGAAATGAGCCTAAGCGTCCCAACTAAAGCGCTCACTATTCTCCAGGAATAACAAATTCAAGAGATATTGCTTCAATTCAAATCATAGCACAAGTTTTACTATTTATAACAAAAATAAAAACTAACTACACCCAGTTCAAACAAAAACCTTGGGAAAGAACTGTGGCATAAAGAAAAACTAAGGGGGAATTATTACACTACCTACAAAAGAAAATCTTTTTGGTCTTTTTCTTTTGACTTTAATCCCTCGAGAAACTTGTCGAATAATATCCATCATCGAGAAAAGTTGAAAATTTTAAAAATTTTATGATTTTTTTTAATGTTTGTACTACTCAAACTAAGACTACTACAAAAAAATAATCAAGCTAACTAAAGCAAAAACTAAGACTAATATACATACAAGATACAAATATCCCCCCGGCACCGACCTTATACGAGCGCAAAACACACACTTAAATATGCTCGCTAGTCGAATATAGAAAAGTAATATATTATATCCATAGGCATTGGATTTAAACAGTGTTTTCGTAGTTTCTAGTTAATTGCTATTCAAGATGACAAATAAATGAGATTTGTATGATTAAAACTAAATTTAACTAAGGGTCTAAAGCTATTTACTAATGACAATCTACGAAAATAATGAGCAAAGAAGGTTATTAATTGGGAGAAGATAGGGATGATAGGATAGGTGAGAGATAAATGTTTGGGATATAACTCTAGGTACTTCACTTCTAATGTTCAAGTGAGTCTCTTGAATTTACTTGGTTATTAATTCAACTGTATAGTGGAAACTTCTCTCTCGATTAGTCTCAACCTTACAAGATGAACCAACTTAAGCTCGTGAAGATATGCACGAATTCGTAGTGGATTGGTCTTTAGGAGAACCTCTCTCTATTATCCTCCTAACTACGATTAATCAACAATTCCACTAGCCTATTCTGATTACTAAGAAGAATTAATGAATTCAACCAACAAGATAGAATGCAAAAATATCACAAGTTATGCCTCTCTCGATTACATGAACACGTGAATATTGATGCAAAATTATAATATCCAAAATGATTCAATACATAAAACTAGAGTTAATTATCCACAAACAAGTATCAGGACACCAAATCTATCAAACCCTAAAGAGAACTACTCTATAGATATGGAGTACTTCATCATAATAATGTTTAAATCAAAGGAAAACATAAAACGATCCAAACTCTTGTCTTGAGTGAGGATTGTATGATGAAATCTTTGTGATTTTGCTTCTCCACCTCCTCCTTAGCTTCCTTAGGTCTAAGATGTATCAAAAGTCCTCAAAATAATGTTTTTACATATATTTATACTAAGTAGGGTGGGGCCCAAATGAAAACACCTTTTCCTACGCGAAATAGTATTCCGACTCTGTAAAGGTTGCACAGGATCGACGTATGGGGCGACACACCATGGAGGGCATTAGTGGGGAAATCTAGAGAGCTAGAAAAATCAAATGGCAGCAGATTTGTACTGCCACAGCACACCATGCCAAATCCTGGCATGAACCAATAAAGCTTGCTGCAGCATGCAGCCCGATCCCATAAATATCACTCACAGCATGCCCTCGGTCTCACTCAGTCATCAACCTCTTCAGTCTCTCAGGCTCACACCACTCATGATTAGCAGCCCAAATCAATGATACGAGATGTGACAATATACAATAACAGAGACTGAGATATGATATGTAATGATGAATACAACTGAGTACATAACTGCAATTAAGCAAATAACTCAACATCAAGGAACGACCACTATGGGTCCTAATAGTACCAACATATAGGCTAAACATGATTTCTAGCATAAATCATAGCTCAAGTGCTCTAAAACATAGAGTACAGTAAAACTATTCAGATAAGATAGCTACACAGTTCCATGGGATCGACTAAATCACCATTTCTATGATGCACACTCATACGCCCGTCACCTAGCATGCACCTCACCTCAACATCAATCACATAACATATAATTCGAGGTTTTATGCCCTCAGCATCAAGTTTAGAAGTGTTACTTACCTCGAACAAGACAAGTCTAATCCGACTCCGAATCGATGTTCAAACTTAAAAAATTACTTTATGAAATTTTAGACAAATCCCCCCAAATTTCACTTTGAGATCATCAATCAAATGCCAAAAACAAAGATGGGCTCATGTAATATAACAAAAATCGAGTATAGAACACTTACCCCAATCCATATGATAAAAATTGCCTTCAAAATTGCCCAAATCGGAGCTCCCAACTCAAAATATGACTAAATGAATAAACCCTTGATATTAAATATTTTTTTGTCCAGCTGTTCTGCCTCGTTTCTTATGCCAACTGATCCTGAAACTTACTTTTGATGCCTCCAATGGATTTCTTGTGAAACCTTAGTCAAGTTAGGCTTTTGAATCAGTCCATTTGACCTTATAATGTAGGGGATATGTTGGTTTCAATATTTAGTAATAGTGCAGATTTTTAAAATGACCATAAACTACTCATACGACATCCAAATTCGACGATTCTTTTTGCTATGGCTCCATAATTACGATACGAATCTAATACTTCAATTAAAATAGAAATTGGAGCTCATTTTGTTAATATGGTACCATTTATATTTGAAGAAACGACATCGAAACATATTTTAAAAAAAAAGAATGCAACACAACCCAAACCTATCGGAAACTCACCCGAGTCCCTCGGGACCTCATCTGAACATACCAAAAAGTATCATTACATAAAACGAACCTACTCGAGGCCTTAAATCACGCATAACAATATCAAAACAATGAATCGCACCTCAAATCAAACTTAATGAACTTTCAAACTTTTGACTTCCAAAAACTCGATCAAACTTATGAACTTTCCAAACCTTCAAATTTTTAACTTTTGCCAATTAGCACCGAAACCTTCTAGAAATATTCAAATGCAAATCTGGGCATATGCCTAAGTCCAAAATCACCATCTGGGCCTAATGAAACCATCAAAATTCTGTTCCGGGGTCAATTCCTAAAAAGTCAAACTCGGTCAACTCTTCCAACTTTAAAGCTTTAATCATGAAATTCATTCTTCCAAATCAATTCCGAATAACCTGAAAATCAAAACCGACAATTCACAGAAGTCATGATACATCATACAATGCTGCTCAAGACATCAAATAGCTGAACGGAATGCAAATGCTCCAAACGATCGATCAGGTTGTTATACAGCACGTCTCTTCTCTATCTCTATCTCTCTCTCTCTCTCTTTTTACAGCTCAACCCTCAATTTAAACAATTCCAAAGTAATATATTCATAAAATATACCTAGGAAACCACAAATCGCTCCAAAACACCCTAGCAAGCTAGGGTTCTTGTTTGATAGGAAGGTATTATGAACAAGCATTTCATTCTCTAATCGTATTATATTTCTTATTTCTTTTTTCGCTTCAACCTTGCAAATCTGCTACAGAAATTAGTGTTTGCTATTTTGCTTGCATATCTCTGCCTTTCTCTGTGGGTTTCTATGTGTATACACGTGAAGGGTCTTCAGTTAAAGTTCGTTCTTGTGATGCTAGAAAATATTTTCAAACCATCTTATTGTTTTATCGAAAATAAAAAATGGGGTACTAGGAGAGCTAGTCATGTTTGAAATCTCAACCATTATTTCTAGTGTTTATTCTCTTTGAAAACTTCAAACTCTAGAAAAACAAAACCAAAAAGATCTATTACTCCCAACTTCTTGTTTTCACTCTTGCTCTGATATGTGTTGACGATGGTATTCAATTGAAAGAGATATCTGACGGCTAGGTTTATGCAATGTATCACATGATATCAAAGTTGCCTCCTTAAACACATTAACAGGGACATGTGGCTTCATCATAGCCCTTGCTCTTTACTTGTTTGTTTTAATTCTAGCCATAGGATCTTCTTCTAGAACTTTCTTGTACATAGACTATAGTTAGTTTATTTAGAGCACGTGTTTTGCCAACTAGTGGAGGAACACATGTATATATATATTACAACACTGTACAGAATAACCGTCTGAGATATCAAATGCAAAGTGATTTTACGTTCAATTGCATTTCTCCTTCTCCAAGTTTTACATGGTATAAGAGCATATCAATTTCACTAGATTCAATTGCGATTTAGTATACAAAATTTCTGGAATATCAGTAATCGTTTCATCTTCTCTCGTTGAATATGGTTTTGACTGAAGATTCTAGTTCCAGTGCTTCCGCTGATTCTCCTACTCCAATAATGGCAAAAATTGATCATCTTCATCCCTATTATCTTCATGCATCTGATTCGCCAGGTATGGCCTTGGTGTTTTCTGTTTTCGATGGGACTGGTTATGGATCATGGAGGAAATCTATTCTAGTCTCCTTATCTGCTAAAAACAAACTTGGATTCATAGATGGGACGTTAGTTAAACCAAAGGAAAATTTTGAATTTTTTAATCTGTGGACAAGGTGTAATGATATGGTTTTTTCTTGGCTATTAAATTCTCTTACCAAGGAAATTAGATCTAGTGTAATTCACTCTAAGTCTGCACATGATCTGTGGAAACAGCTTGAGAAGAGATATAGACAGTCGAATCTAGCACAATTATTTGATCTACAAAAACAAATAATGGAAACTGTGCAAGGTTCAAACAATATTGCAACATATTTCAATAATATGAAAGTCATATGGGATGAGATTGATCTACTTGATTCTAGAGTTGTATGCAGTTGTGTTGATTGTAAGTGTGGGGCTGTAGAGAAAAACAATGCACTTGAAGAAAGGCAAAAATTAGTGCAATTCTTAATGGGTCTTAATGAGACATATACTGTATGTAGAGGCAATATAATGATGATGAATCCCTCACCTAATATTGATCGAGCTTATTTTCTGTTACTACAAGAGGAAAGACAAAGAAGTATACAACCTATGATTTTACCTATAGACTCTACCTCTTTCTCTGTTGCTAGACAGTCATCCAATTTAGGGCAAGGCAATCAGAGATTCAATATGCAACAAGGATCATTTTACAGTACTTCAAAGCCCAATTCCTATCAGGACAATCGGAGAAATAATTTAAGCTGCAAATACTGCAAGAAGACAGGACATACTATAGAAAAATACTTCAAGCTTCATGGATATCCCACAAATTTTCAACAGGGAGGATTTAAGAATAACAAACCAAGGGAGAATGTACAACCAATTTTTTATAATTCAGCACATAGCAATGCCATCAGCACTCAGTCAGACTCTAACAAGCCTACAAATACTGATGTGTCTATTGGATTAAATCAAGAGAAAATTTCTCAATTGATGGAGATACTACACCAAGTCAAAATTGGCCAACAAACTACTTCTAATTCTGAAGCAAATGTGACAGTTAACTGTGCTGGTATTGCTCCCTTTACTATCCTAACTACTCCTAAAAATTCTATTTGTCATTTTTGGATACTTGATTCTGGTGCCTCAAAACACATAACTTTTGATGAATCTATTCTTTTCAACATCAAACCATTATCACAACCTGTTTTTGTCAACCTACCTAATTCTTTTTTGATTAAAGTCACACATGCTGGACAATCTTGTATCCATCCTGATCTCACTCTTAACAGAGTGCTTGTAGTTCCTAGTTTCAAATTTAACCTTTTATCAGTTCACAAACTATGCTCACAATTTAACAGTCTGCTTACCTTCTCTGCTACATCTTTTTTCTTACAGAGCCCTTCCTTGAGGAGGCCTCTGAATCCTGGTAGAGTGAAGGATGGACTCTATCTGCTGCAGACCTTTCATCCCATGTCTGGAACTCACCTGCGGACAAACCAAACAATTTTATCTCCTGTTAATAATTGTCATCAGTCTGTTTGCACCCTGTTTTCTAATTCTGAATTTTCTTGTGGAACTTTATGGCATGTAAGACTTAGGCATATGCCCATTTGAAGTATGAAACACATCTCTGCTCTATCACATAATGCTTTTGTTTCTGATCCTCACCCTTGCTCTATTTGTCCTCTAGCAAGACAACATAAGCTACCATTTCCTAAAAGCACCTCTTCCACATCACACATATTTGAACTTATACATATTGACACTTGGGGACCCTATAAAACAACTACTTATGATGGTTTTAAATATTTTCTAACCATAGTGGATGATTTTAGTAGGGGAACTTGGACCTAACTTTTGAGCAACAAAGGCAATGCTTTCACTATTCTCAAATCCTTTATTGCCATGGTTGAAAGACAATTTGACACCAACATTAAAGTCATTCGATCTGATAATGCCTTAGAACTAGGGAGTGGTTCTACTGTTGCTGCTTATTTTCAGTCTAAAGGGATCATTCACCAAACTAGTTGCGTAGCCACCCCTCAACAAAATGGTATAGTTGAGAGGAAACACAAACACTTACTTGAAACCTGTAGAGCCTTGCTATTTCAATCCAAAGTTCCTACCATTTATTGGGGTGAATGCCTCTTAACTACCACCTTTCTTATTAACAGATATCCTACCAAATTGCTTCACCACAAGACACCTTATGAAATTCTTTTTGGCAAATCTCCTGACTATAATATACTTAAGTGTTTTGGTTGCCTTTGTTTTGCCTCTACTTTGTCTCATCAAAGAGGGAAACTTGATCCTAGGGCTATTGCCTGTGTATTTCTTGTTTACCCTTTAGGGAAGAAAGGCTATAAGCTCCTAAACTTGCAAACTAACCATGTTTTTATTTCTAGAAATGTTGCGTTTCATGAATCCATTTTTCCTTTTTCTGTTTTGCCTTCTGCTTCTTACCCCCTCTTTCCTATTTCCCCTACTGTGTCTTCTTCCAACTATCCTCTCTCTATCCCTTTTTCTCATCCTAACTCTCCCATTCCTAATGATTCCCATCTGAGTCCATCCTTCTCCTCTCCTCCTTCTTTTTCTTCTCTTCTTCCTTCCTCTTCTCCTACATCTCTTATACCATTCCCCTCTAGTTCTGCCTCTTTATCTACCTCCACTGATACCTCTATTCCAATGTCCCCTACCCATTCTGCACCTTCTCTTGTTCCTCTTGAGGCTCCCTTGCGCAGGTCATTAAGAGAACACAAAACACCTGCCTACCTTTCAGATTTCATATGCAATGTTGTCTATCTTACTGATGTTTCTACCCCTTGCTTTCTTTCTCCTATTTTACCTAATGTTATATCCTTTTCCACCCTATCTCCTCTCAGTTGTCAGCTTGTTAATTCTATCTCCCACATTCATGAACCCACTTCCTTTTTCTCAAGTTGTTACTCATCCTGGATGGCAGGAAGCCATGGCTAAGGAATTGGATGCTTTATTGGCCAATGAGACATGGACAATAGTTCCTCTACCACCTGGGAAAAAGGCTCTACCTTGTAAATGGGTTTACAAAGTGAAACTTAAATCTAATGGCAGTGTTGAAAGGCGTAAGGCACATTTGGTTATTAGAGGTGACACTCAACGTGATGGTATTGACTTCACTGAAACGTTCTCTCCGGTTGTTAAAATGACTACTATTCGTTGCATTCTCGCTATTGCTATTAAAAAGGGTTGGGGTCTTTATCAACTCGATGTTAATAATGCTTTTCTACACGAAGAAGTCTATATGAAATTTCCTGCTGGTTTTCCTTCCCCCTCCCCCACTCATGTTTGTCGCCTTAAGAAGTCTCTCTATGGGCTTCGTCAGGCCTCGCGCCAGTGGTATGCTAAGCTCACTGATGCCCTCAATTTTAAAGGGTTCTCCCACTCGCTTAATGACTACTCTCTCTTCTATAAGAAGTCTGGTTCATCTGTCTCACTAGTGGCTGTGTACGTTGATGATATACTACTTACTGGCAACAATGAGCAAGAGTTGACTGAATTGAAACATTTCTTTTATGCTAAATTTGAAATTAAGGATTTAGGGCACTTATCTTTCTTTTTGGGCATGGAGATTTTGCAGGAGCCTTCTGGTTTGCTTGTTAGCCAACACAAATTTGCTCTTGAACTGCTCACTAAATTTTCTTGTTTGGATCTTTCTCCAGTCACCTCCCCTTTGGATCCCTCTATCAAGCTCTTTGCTGGAGTTGGTTCTCCTATCCTTGATCCTTCCCTTTATCATCGTCTTCTTGGTAAGCTCAACTTCCTCACTCATACTAGGCCAGATCTTTCTTTTGTTGTTCAACACCTATCTCAGTTTATGCAAGATCCTCGTTATCCTCACCTGGCTGCTGCCATGCATTGTCTTCGCTACCTCCTAAAAGATCCTGGTCTTGGTCTTTTCATGTCTTCTTCCCCTTCTTTTGATCTTCTCACTTTTTGCGACTCCGACTGGGGTTCTTGCCCTGATTCTCGCCGTTCCGTTAGTGGTTTCTTCATCAGTTTGGGTGGTTGTCCCATTTCTTGGAAATCCAAGAAACAATCTTCTGTTTCTTTGTCTTCCGCCGAGGCGGAGTACCGCTCTATGCGCCGTGTAGTGGAAGAATTAACCTGGCTTCACCGCCTTCTTACGGATCTCTTGGTGCCTCCCTCTTTACTGATTCCCCTTCATTCTGATAGCCAAGCTGCGATCTATATCGCTAAAAACCCCATTTTTCATGAGAGGACAAAACACGTCGAACTTGATTGCCATTTTGTCCGCCAAGAGTTTCAATCTGGTCTCATCTCCCTTTCCTTTCTTCCTACTCGCTCTCAAGTGGTCGATATCTTCACCAAACCTCTTTCTGGGCCTTCTCATCATGAGCTCCTGAGCAAGTTGGGGGTTCATTCTTCCCCCTCCAACTTGAGGGGGGTGTTGACGATGGTATTCAATTGAAAGAGATCTCTGGCGGCTAGATTTATACAATGTATCACATGATATCAAAGTTGCCTCCTTAAACACATTAACAGGGACACGTGGCTTCATCATAGCCCTTGCTCTTTACTTGTTTGTTTTAATTCTAGCCATAGGATCTTCTTCTAGAACTTTCTTGTACATAGACTATAGTTAGTTTATTTAGAGGACGTGTTTTGCTAGCTAGTGGAGGAACACATGTATATATATATTACAACACTGTATAGAATAACCGTCTGAGATATCAAATGCAAAGTGATTTTACTTTCAATTGCATTTCTCCTTCTCCAAGTTTTACAATATGAATATGAACTCATGAATTAGTGATCTGCTAATTTCCGTATGTTCACATGTTTTCTGAATTTATATTTAATCAAAAGAATTGTGATTTTTACTTTTTTCTTATCAGTATTTGTGCATGGGTGACTAATTTACATATAGTACTTTTTTAGTTTAAACCATCACCTTCACTTGTGGGCTTAGGGTGTGGGGGTTAGGCTTGGACCCCTACCATGTATATTGGATAATTTAGAATGACAAGAGGGGGACATGGAACCTTGCCTCTAGTCTACAAAAAGTTTGGCAAGCAAAACAAGGAAAGGCGTAGCCTATACAAACTAACAAAAAATTACATTTTTCATATCGTCTCCTATAAATAGGAAGTTTTCATTTGTCAGGTTGAAACAGCCCATTTGCCTCTCTAGGAAGGTTGTTATGAGAGTGATATAAGGTCATGTTTCCACTTGTAGAAGCCAACTTTGCCAACAGATCCGCAATTTGGTTTGCTTCTCTAAGGAAATGAGAGATACAAGAAACAATGTTGTCAAGCTTAGTAGTTGTACCATTGATAATATGTTGTAGCTTCAAGTTGTTGGTGCCTTGTTTTGTGAGGATTTTAGTGACAATCAGAGAATCAATCTCCACATGAAGATTAGAGTAGCCATGTTGAGTGCACCATTCTACCCCAAATCTTGCTGTTATGGCTTCTGTTTGCGAGCTACTACTATCTTGTATAGGGACAAAAAATGCAAAGATGAAGTCTCCATTGCTATTTCTAACAATACCCCCAATCCCAGCTTTCCTGCTTGCTTTGATAAAACTACTATGAGTTAATTTTGATCCGCCCAGGTGCAGGTTTTGTCCAATGAACAGGGGTACATATGACAACAGGTTTGAGCTTCTCTACTAATTCGTAGAGATTACTCCATGTACCAGTAGCGTCCAAATTAGGAAATGCATCCTGAAGAACTGCTTTGATATTCCAAACACATTGAGTAACCATTTGATACAAGTAAAAGTTGTTGTCCCCATACTTACATGCAGCCCAAGATTTCCAAATCACCCAATAGATGATTTCTATTGGCCCCATACTTATAGCCTGTTGATGTGCCTTGACGTGATTTCTTATTGCTCAGTCTGTATTTATTATTATTACTCACTGAGTTGGAGTACTCACTTTACTCCATGCACTCTGTGTGCAGATTCAGGCGCTTCAGGTCCTGTTTGCGAGGGTTGAGAGCTTCCAGCAGATTCAGAGTAGTTGCTCGGCATTTGCAGCCTAGTACTTCTCCCTCTATCTTATTTTCTTCTACTTTAGTTTTGTAATAGTTGAGTAGACTCTTTCAGACTTGTAGTATTATTATAGATGCTCATGACTGGTGACACCCCGATGTCGGGCTATGCCTATTCCGCAATTGTAGTATTCACTTTTTTAGGGATTTTATTATGTTAACATCTTAATATTTATCATTATAATTGCTTAAAAATGAATTGGAAGTGTGTCGACTGGACTTGTCTTCACGAGAGCCGCCATCATGACCGGGTCCGGATTTACGGTCGTGACAAGTTTGTATCAAAGCCTATGTTACATAAGTCTCATGAGTCATGTGCAGGTTTAGTAGAGTCTCGCGGATTGGTACGGAGACGTCTGTATTTATCCTCAAGAGGCTGCAGAACCTTTAGGAACAACTTCATATTCTTGGAATTATTGTCATCAGATTTTGTTGATCTGAGTACTAAACTTCTGTTATTCTATTCTCTCACAGATGGTGAGGAAACGTGCTACATGTCAAGATGGACGACCACCAGTACCACCAGCTATGGCCACTAGAGGCCGAGGATGTGGCCG